GATCGGTTAAAGATACAGTCTACAAATTTGGAATGTGTAACGGAATTTGGAACAAAAATAAGTTTGCTAAATTATATTGTAATCGGTTCAGATTTGGATATAGCTCCCATATATATTTTCGACCGATTTCGTTCATTTGAAGCCTCAAACACAATATGAATGTTCGATTCCAATGAAATTTGGAATATGTGACGGGATTTGATCCGAAAATAAATTTGTCAAATTATATTGAAATCGGTTCAGATTTGGATATAGCTCCCATATATATTTTCGGCCGATTTCAAGCATTTGATGCACCAAACACGCTATGTATCCCCAATTTCAATGAAATTTGAAACGTGTGATAGATTTTATCTAAAAAAATTTATTTCCCAAATTATATTGAAATCGGTTCAGATTTGGATATAGCTCCCATATATATTTTCGGCCGATTTCATGTATTTGGTGGACCAAATAAGATATGTATGTCCAAATTTAATGAAATTTAAAATAAGTAACGGAATCGGGAGCAAAAATGAATTTTTCAAATTATATTAAAATCGGTTCAGATTTGGATATAGCTCCCATATATATTTTCCGCCGATTTCACATATTTGATGCACAAAACACGATACGTATTTCCAAATCCAATGAAATTCGGCATGAGTGGCTAAACTTGGTACAAAAATAAATTTGACAAATTATATTCAAATACGCTCGGATTTAATTATAGCTCCCACATATATACTCAGCCGATTTCACATATTTGATGCACCCAAAGCGAGAAAGACGAAATCTGGCACCAGAAAAAATTGCCAAATTTTATTGAAATCAGTTGAGGTTTGGGTATAGCTAACATATGTGTGGTTACAATAATAAATGTGACAAATTAATTGGAAATTAGTTAAGATTTGGATATAGCTCCCATATATATATTCTCGGCCGATTTCACGTATTTGACGCACCAATTTCAATGAAATATGAAAGGTGTGGCGGAATTTGGTGTAAAAGTATTTTTTTTAAAATTATATTTAAATCGGATCAGATTGGGATATGATTTTAATAAGAACCATTGACCCACAACGCCTTAGGCTAACACTAAAAAACAACACAACAATTAATTTGAAATACGCTTATTACGGGGAAGTATGTTGCTATCTTGAATTCATTAATTGCAACAGAAATACCACTCAACTTCAAAAGATTGCAGTTTACTGCACGCTTGGTATTTGCTATGAAATAAATAAATCCGAAGGACAAACCCTTCGTGTATGTATGTCATGTTACCGTTTTTCTAATGGTTTTGTATATTTACGCATTAAAGTAGTGCAATAATTTTTTTTTTAATTATAAAATTTGTTTTTTTTTAACCAACATATATTCGTAAATAAAATTTTGAATGCATATAAAATCAAAAGGGGTAGCGAAGCGCACCGGGTTCAGCTAGTTTGAATATAATTTGTCAAATTTATTTTTGTACCAAGTTTAGCCACTCATGCCGAATTTCATTGGAATCGGAAATACGTATCGTGTTTTGTGCATCAAATATGTGAAATCGGCGGAAAATATATATGGGAGCTATATCCAAATCTGAACCGATTTTAATATAATTTGACTAATTCATTTTCTAATCAAAATCCCGTTACATATTCCAAATTTCTTTGGAATCGAACATACATATCGTGCATGGTGCATAAAATACATGAAATCGGTCGAAAATATATATGAGAGCTATATCCAAATCTGAACCGATTTTACTATAATTTGACAAATGTATATTCGTTTTAATTTCCCCTACAGATTCCAAATTTCATTGAAATTAGAGATACATAGCGTGTTTGGTGCATCAAATACATGAAATCGGTCGAAAATATATATGGGAGCTATATCCAAATCTGAACCGATTTCAATATAATTTGACAAATTTATTTTCGGATCAAATCCAGTCACATATTCCAAATTTCATTGCAATCATAGCAAATACCAAGCGTGCAGTAAACTGCAATCTTTTGAAGTTGAGTGGCATTTCTGTTGCAATTAATGAATTCGAGATAGCAACATACTTCGCCGTAATAAGCGTATTTCAAATTAATTGTTGTGTTGTTTTTTAGTGTTAGCCTAAGGCGTTGTGGGTCAATGGTTCTTATTAAAATCATATCCCAATCTGATACGATTTAAATATAATTTTAAAAAAATTACTTTTACACCAAATTCCGCCACACCTTTCATATTTCATTGAAATTAGTGCGTCAAATACGTGAAATCGGCCGAGAATATATATATGGGAGCTGTATCCAAATCTTAACTAATTTCCAATTAATTTGTCACATTTATTATTGTAACCACACATATGTTAGCTATACCCAAACCTCAACTGATTTCAATAAAATTTGGAAATTTTTTCTGGTGCCAGATTTCGTCTTTCTCGCTTTGGGTGCATCAAATATGTGAAATCGGCTGAGTATATATATGGGAGCTATAATTAAATCTGAGCGTATTTGAATATAATTTGTCAAATTTATTTTTGTACCAAATTTAGCCACTCATGCCGAATTTCATTGGAATCGGAAATACGTATCGTGTTTTGTGCATCAAATATGTGAAATCGGCGGAAAATATATATGGGAGCTATATCCAAATCTGAACCGATTTCAATATAATTTGAAAAATTCATTTTTGCTCCCGATTCCGTTACTTATTTTAAATTTCATTAAATTTGGACATACATATCTTATTTGGTCCACCAAATACATGAAATCGGCCGAAAATATATATGGGAGCTATATCCAAATCTGAACCGATTTCAATATAATTTGACAAATTTATTTTCGGATCAAATCCCGTCACATATTCCAAATTTCATTGGAATCGAACATTCATATTGTGTTTGAGGCTTCAAATGAACGAAATCGGTCGAAAATATATATGGGAGCTATATCCAAATCTGAACCGATTACAATATAATTTAGCAAACTTATTTTTGTTCCAAATTCCGTTACACATTCCAAATTTGTAGACTGTATCTTTAACCGATCAATAGATATGTGCATATAAAATCTAAATTTTTGGGAGGTACCTCCGATTCTGATGCTATATCTCCAGTTCCAAGTGGAAATTCAAAAATGTATATAGCCTATGTTACTTTCAGGCGATGTTGCAGTATATATGGAAATTTTCAGAAAATCTATTCAGCAGTTTTCGAGTCCATAAATTACAAACAAACAAACAAACAAACAAACAAACAAACAAACGTACAAACATTTTCCTCTTTTATAGATATAGATATATATATATGTATATATATATATATATATATATATATATATATATATATAGATATATATATATATATATATATATACATATATATATGTATATGTATATATATATATATATATATATATATATATATATATATATATATATATATATATATATATATATCGGGTGAATTGTGCACCAAATGGCCAATATCAGTCCTAATTGCTTGAATTTTTGGTACATCCGACCGATCCGAACAAATTTGGAGAATATCGGTTCAGATATAGCTATATATTCCCAAACGAGAACGGATATAGCTCCCATATCGGGATAAAATATGACAGGGCATTTCTGGCATGTATCTGATATCTGGTACCAGAGTGCATATTACACATGCGATGGAACCAAAAACCCCTAATCGGATATATATAGGAGCTATGGCTATATCTGAACTATTAAAAACTCTTCGATTTTTTTCGAAATTTTTCCCAGTGGTAGGTATTTTTACCCTCATTCGCGGAAACTATTTTTTTCTTGGGGGTTTTTTGACCCAAAATCCGGGTTCAGAACCCGGCGTGGACACGGACCCTATTACCCGATATAGACAATAAAGATATCGTTGGAAAGCTTATGAAAATACCTAGCATTTTTGGAAAGGTGAAAGTACCAGCTATAAATTGCCATCAATTTTGTTGACCCCCATAATGGCCTAATTTTTAACTATTTGGGGGTTTTATAAAAAATCCGGGTCCGATAATTTGACTATAACTTCCGAACCGTGACCACTTACCCCATCACTTGTTGGATAGGTATTTTCATAAGCTTTGCAACGATATTGTCTACATCGGGTAATTGGATCCGGGTCTAATCGGGGTCTTAAACCTGGACTTTGGGGTCAAAAGTCTGGGGTCCCGGGTCCGTCCCCTAAGAGAAAATAGTTTCCCGGGATCATGTTAAAAGTACCTACCACTGGAAAAAATTTAAGAGTTTTTACTAAACTAGAGTTAAGCCATGCACAAAGACATAATTCCCTTACCACTATGGGATGTAGGGTATAAAAATTAACCTTTATTAGTCTCAACCGAATTCTAATTTCAACAGTTCTTTACCCGCAATACACAATCTCTCGTTGGTGATGTGGTTAACTTCACATAAACGTGCATTTGTTACATATAGAACCAATATATTTGCATTTAATAGGCAGCACTTTTCTACAAAAAAAAAGTAACTAAAACACTTTAAAACTTAAGAAATAAATTATAACTCAATAAACTGTGGAGAGAACACTCTCACAGAAATTCTTCAATGTGAGTCATTTTAACTGTTTCATTTGTCTTGCAAGGTTATTGACGAAAAGGGTGATTACCTTAATAAATTTATATAGATTTTTTGCGATTAAGAAGTTCGAGAGGACACCCAACTACGAGAATAAAAACCATAAATGATCAATTATGCTGATATCATTACACACACAGCCGTCCTTCACATTCAGGTGCACATATCTAAGTAAACTGATAATGCATTTTTCAAACTGTTATTGTTTATTTAAATGTAGTTTGCAACATTTGACACACACCTGCGTCGCGTGGTGGGTAAATACCCACATAAACACACACTTAAGAATTTCATCACCCAAACTCTTATTGAAAGAAACAGACGGCAGCGAAGATGTGTAACTTCAGAAATGAATTTCACAATTTTTTTCTGATATTAAAAAAAATTTTATTATTGAATTATCAAAGAAAAACAATTATACTTACCATTAAAAAGAAGAAAATAAAATTCAAATTCATAAAAGAATTGAAAGGAGTTTAGAATTCCGTGGAAAAGTTTTTATCTACCATTTGGGGAGAACCGATTCAAATCACTTCATAAAAAACAAAACAATTTTTTTTTTCAATTTCACTTTCAGTTATTAATTAATTTATTTATTTTTATTTTCGCAATACCATGCAGAGGGTTTAGGAATTTATAAGTTGTTACCACTTTTATACGTTGTTACCACTTCCGATACGTTTGCAATACTAACTTATTTCGCAAGTATTAAATTCAAAAAATACTCTGGTTGGCTGGTTTTTGCTGAGAAAAACTGTTGTCCGTGTGGTCGTCGATGGCACTGAATAAACATTGCGCGTGTGTTTGTGCAAAAAAAAAAATAGAAACATACTGGACAACACAAGTTACCGTATAATAACAACAACGATAACATAAAGAGTCATCAAACAGGAGCACAGTCACAGTTATGAAGAGCAACAGAGAAAGAGGCTTTTGATTCAACGGTGATTTGAGCACAATTTTAACCCAACACTAAATAAACGCCAAATCAAACAAAACGACATTAGGTGTGTCTGGTTATCCTAAAATTTGTAACAATTGTTACAAATTGTTAGTGGAACTCGTATTTTCAACACGAAAGTTCTGCAAAAGAGAGCGGTTGGAGAGAGAGAGAGAAATATTGACAGTTCTTTCAGTGAGAGTTAGCAAATTCTTTCTGGACAAATTTCTCCTTATCTTCTTCTCATTCATCGACATTCAATCAAATGTTTTCCATTGTTTGTTTATTTCTTCCACCTCCACCATAGTACGGGGTAGCTCCCGCTACTCAGTATTTTGATGATTCTAGTTACATTATTAAGCGGAATTGTTTCAAATTTGGTATTTGAAGTTCGAAATGGATACTACAGCCTAAGACAGAAAATTGTCTGTGCAGGTCCACGTCTTCGTATATCCCACCTATAACGGTACTTCCCTATATTCGGTATTTTGATGATTGTTGCAACATTATTAACCGGAATTGTTTCAAATTTCGTATTTGAAGTTCGAAATGGATACTACAGCCTAAGACAGAAAATTGTCTGTGCAGGTCCACGTCTTCGTATAGCCCACCTATAACGGTACTTCCCTATATTCGGTATTTTGATGATTGTTGCGACATTATTAACCGGAATTGTTTCAAATTTCGTATTTGAAGTTCGAAATGGATACTACAGCCTAAGACAGAAAATTGTCTGTGCAGGTCCACGTCTTCGTATAGCCCACCTATAACGGTACTTCCCTATATTCGGTATTTTGATGATTGTTGCGACATTATTAACCGGAATTGTTTCAAATTTCGTATTTGAAGTTCGAAATGGATACTACAGCCTAGGACAGAAAATTGTCTGTGCAGGTCCACGTCTTCGTATAGCACCCACATAACGTACCTCCATGTATTTTCACCGGAGTAGTTTCAAATTATATATTTAGTTTTCATAATGGGAACTACAGTCTGCGACAGAAAATTGTCTATGCAGGTCCAGGTCTTCGTATAGGCCTCATATAACGGCACCTCCCGATATTCGGTATTTTGACGATTTTCGGTACAATAATCACCGAAATTGTTTAAGATGTCGTATTTGAAGTTCGTAATGGATACTACAGCCTGTGACAGAAAATTGTTTGTGCAGGTTAGGTCTTCGTATAGCGCCGATAAAACTGTACATTTCAAGTTTCGAATTTGAATATGGTAAGGCTTATGACAGACCATGCCTGTGTAGGCCCACGTCGTATAGACCCCAATATAACGTCTATATTCGGTGGTTTTAAGATTTTAACAGAATTTGTAACGGATTTTATTTTTTGAAAATTTCCAAAGTCGTTCCAAATGGAGTTGGGTATTTAAAGATCGGCCCGGCGAACTAACTATTTTTAAATTGTTATTTTACTGCTAATTTCCCTTTTAATTTATAAAACTTGTAAAATTGGTGGTGGTGCTTCCTTCCTTTTAATTCTTTTAATGGGAGACAATTTGGTTTATTTTTTGATTTGATTTTTTGATTAGTTGCAAGCTTCTGCAGGAATACCGTTTGTTTACATTTCGCATTTTCCTTTATCTCTCAGAAATATGTTTCTGGACAATTCCAGCAGTAAAAGTAACCAGACACACCTATTGTATCGGCTTTCTCACGACGAGCGTGGCGAAAGAAAGAAAGAGAGAGAAAGAGAGTGGCCTTTTGTATTAGTATTTGGGAGGCATATTTTCATGGTCTCTTAGCTGCCTTTTGTTCTCTGTTGTTATGTTCAAGTGGGTTTTCCATTTTCCATCCGTCGAGCCACTTTCAGCGATGTCTCCTACATCATAACAATACTCTTTTCTTTTTGTGTTCTTGTTTGGTTGGAACGAAAGGTGTTATCCGATGATGATACAATAATAAAAAAGCCGGCAAAATAAAACGATGACGTTATGCGAAAACAGCTGTCTGGCTAGCTTGTTGCCTTTGCCACACAGATCGTTTGTGTTGATAATCTCATTTAAAATGTATTAGTTACTTTATGTGTAAGAGAGTAAATATTCTGATTGAAAATGAGCATTCGCAGAGAAAGTAAATTGCTTTATTCTCAAATATGGAAAAAGAGTAAGTAATTTACACATTTAGGGATATTTTTAACGTTACATTGACATATTTTTACATTTTCACATTAAGTTCAAGTGTTCAAAATTTCCATTAATGGTAGGATTCCGTATGGAATATTTAAAAACTGTAGGTAATGTGAACAAACTAACTTCTGCCTTATCAGTAGGCTGTAAATAATGAGAAATTCCTCACAAAAATTTGCGAAATGAGATGGAAAAGATTACTAAAAATTATTTTAAACAATTAAAAAACACCTAAGTTCGTGCGAGCCAAATTTTTTAAACGCACTAATACAGCTAATATATGCATATATTATCAGATAATTTGCTTTGAATTATAGGGGCAGAAACCTTAAAATTACTGAAAATCGGGAAGAACCGATGGGGTCTATACCAGGGGTGCTCAAGAAGAAATATCTGTTTTCAGTCAAATTTCTCTTTGCTTATTTAAATCAAGAACAAAACAGTGTTAAGTCATTATTTATACAAATATTTTTTATCCATTTGCTTTATAAACTATTTTGGCAAACATTCGTGTTTAAAAACAATTACATAGAACAGTAAAATATAAAGAAAAACAGAATTTTAATTTTCTCTTAAATAATCTCTTTTTTCTCTTCATGTTCTAGAACACGGTTTTGAGCACCCCTGGTCTATACCTACATGAATCGAACAGGTTTTGCAACTAGGGAACGGACCTAAAAAGAACCTTAAATGTCAAGTTTCAGCTAATTTGGTGGGAAATTTTGGCAGAAATCTTGAAAATACCGAAAATCGGTTATATGGGGGTTATGCCTAAACGTGAGCCCATATAGCCCATTTTCAATTCCAATCAACCTGGACATTTGGATTTCAATAGATGGATAAAGCATATATACAGGTAGAAATGAAAAAAACTGCAATCAACTTCAGACTACTGGCATTTCGAAGCCACTCGTCCGACAGTTGTTAAAATTATTCCAGTGACTGCTCATTATATTGTTCGTGAGCTGAAGATAGCGCAATATTCCATTCGGCAAATATTGAAACATGAGCTCGGGATCAAGCCATTGAAATTCCAAAAAGAGCAAGATCTTACACCGCAACAGAAAGAAAATGGACTTAAAAGAGCTAAAGAGTTGCTTCGCTTGGCCGAAAGTGGTGAACTGCTGAATTTGGTTTTCTCCAGTGAGAAAACATTCGTTGTCCAGCAGTTTGTAAACAAACAAAATGATCATGTTTACTTGCCAAAGAGGTCAGCTGAAATTGTGCACCTTCGGTTGGCCACTAGAACTCAAGTGCCGGTCATGGTGATGTTGGGGGCCGCCATTAAAGCCGATGGTCACTCTCCGCTCGTATTAATCAACCGTAGCATCGGAATAAATTCCGAATATAATCGCGAAAATATCCTGGAGGGTATATTTAAGCCTTGGGCACTCAGCACCATCGCACTCAGCACGCGCCACCCAAGAATGGTTACAAAATGAGATTCTTCGCTTAATTTCAAGCGCACAATGACCACCAAAATCTCCGGATACCAATTCGTTGGACTATTGTGTCTGGAGTATTTTGGAAAGCAAGGTTGGCACTAAAAAATACCAAAGTGTCGATCACCTCAAGCAAGCGCTTCGTTGGGAATGGGCCAAAATACCGCAGAGCAACATTCGGGCAGCGTGTAACGGTTTCATTAACCGTTTGCAGGTCATAATTCGTGCCAAAGGTGATTAATTCGAGCAAATCTAAACTTATTCTAATATTTGATGCTATTTCCGACATTTCAGGATTATCGTGCACCAAATGGCTAATATCGGCTCAAAACGGACTGAATTTTGGCAGATCCGACAGAATCCAGCCACGAAAAAAATTACCTCAAATTTTAGAGAAAGTCGGTTTAGATAAAGCTATAGCTCCCATAAATATGTTTATCGGATTTGGGGTTTAAAGTCCCTCACAGGCGTAATATGCACTCCAGAATAATGATCTTTGTTACCAGATATCAGATGCGTTTGTAACATGCCACTGTCAGCATGAAATTCTAAGTCGATTTTGGTGTAGAGCCTCCGAATTTGGCACAACAATCTGTATTTTGTCTAGGATGGTTGGTATTGAAAATGAAACATATCGGTCTACGTTTTGGTATAGCCGCCATATAACGCCATATTTTCTCACGGATTTGTCTAAAGATTGATATTTGTAGTTTCTGAATTGGTTCTTGCTCCGGTGGCAAATTAGTAAATATCTGGATGGAGGATATTAAAATGTTTTGTTTTTTATTTGTGTCTTTAATGATTTTATACCCTCCACCCCAGTATGGAGGGTACATTAAGTTTGTCATTCCATTTGTAATACCTCGAAATATTCTTGATCTTTATAAAGATCCATGTAGATATACGTCCGTCTGTGGAAAGATTGATTTCCTTTCGAATGAATGAAATAGGTTGATAAAATTTTACTCGAATTGTTCTTAGGTCTGCTGTAATTTTGGTATTGAAAATGGGCTATATATAGGTTCACGTTTAGGTATAATCACCATATAACTGTTCCTTCCATTATTCGTTATTTTGATGATTTTAGCGACATTGTTAACCGGGATGGTTTCAAACTTCGTAATAAAAGTTCGTAATGGGTACTA